GCGAACAGAATCATGAAATGCCACTGAGACACCAGTGCTCCTATTTTTTATCCACATTGTCTCAATCTGTTAGTTATTTCCTCATTGTATTTCCTATGAAAATTCATTTATATCAGTTAAATTACTTATGTTTTCTTTATTTACTTTCTTTATCCAGTCTCGAAGTTGATAAGATCATAAGCTTTTTTAAGTGTATTTCGTTTTGTCTTCATTGATATTATTAAATCATAATCTTTATGATTTGCCAGGGGTATTTGTGCTCCGGGGAAACCCCGGAATTCCGGGGATTTTGAACTTTGATACCCGGAAATTCCGGGGATCGTCGTTCAAAAGGAAGTAGGAATAATAATGAATTAATTATTTTGATCTGGGTAATTTTGTTTGCTTTGAAAGCAGAAAACGCAAGGTCAGTGTGTGTGGTGAAAACTTTTCCTTTCTTTCTCCAGAGGCAGTGATAATGCGTGAAAAGGGGGGAAAAAACTTCTTTTTTGTTCTTTCCTTATTGCGAGTTATGACTCATTCCCCCGGTTCTCGGACATTCTCTTCTGGATTCTTTTCGGCAAGTAGGCGCAGCAGAAAAAAAGGCAGAGACTTTGTTCGACCAGATGTGCGATCACGTGACTCTGGGTTCAAAGGTCTTATCAGCGTGGCGCCAATAAGTAGAGAAGGGGGATTTTTCGCCATATTAGCTATTTGTCATTGATCGCTTCTCAACTTTTTTTCTCTGCTGTGTAAAATTTTCGTTTAATTTATTGATGCACTTGTAAATTTTTCGTTTCGTTTATTGAAATATTTTTTTTACTTATGTACGCAAGAGAATTTCACTATGAAATTTCTCGATATAAATAGTGATATTATACAATTAGAAGAAGGTGTCCGGAATGCATTTAGGTGGAATTGGATTGAACGGAGAGATGGTAATGGGGATACCATCTGCACATGATGCAAGAAAATAAATGTTGCTGGACAAGCATATTGTGTTTTCGTAACTCACTGCTGAAGTATGGTGGGGAAGGATTCAAGGCTTTCACAAATCATTCTAAAACTGTGACGCACATAAAATATTCAAAGTGCATTAGACATTCAATGACTTTAAGTAATTATGCTAATTCAAAAAATACTGATGACTTACTGGAGACTGATGCTCGGCCATTGGATATAGTGACAAGAAAAGCACGCCAAGAGGTATTAATAACTTCGTTTATCGCCGAGAATTCTCTTTCTTTCAATGTAGCTCCCAATTTAATTGAACTCTGCAAACAGTTGAGCCGCGATCAGACGGCACTAAACTCATTGGAAATGTCCAGGACTACTGCATGTTATAAGATGAAATATGGGCTCGCAAAAACTATTAAGGAAAATATCATTAAAACTTTAAAGGAGACTCCATTTTCTCTAAATTTGGATGAAAGTACTAGCAATGCTCAAGAAAGTATACTGGCAATATTGGTGCAGTTTTATGACAACAATCAAAATGAAGTTGTTGTAGTTCATCATTTTGCATCTCTAAAGATGGAATCTTGCAATTCAGAAGCTGTTTTTAAAGCAGTTGTTAATACTATTGAAGATAATAATATTCCATGGGCAAACTTAATTAGTGTATTAATGGACTCATGTAACACCATGCGTGGAAAAAAAAGGGTGTTGAAACCAGACTACGATCAAACAAAGCACCCCACTTATTAGATATTGATGGTGACACATGTCACACAGCTAATAACTGTGCAAAAAAATTTGCTTCATGTTTTGATAGATACTTAGAAGATTTGTTTGATGACATCTATTTTGATATGAAAAGCTGCAGTAAAAGAGAAAATTTTTTCAAAATCTGTGAATCCCTTGCCATTAAAAAACTTAAGCCCTTGAAGAGACCAGACCATAGGTGGGTGTACATTTTATGTGTTTTAGAAAGAATCAAAGATCTGTGGGATGCTCTTATTGCATTTTATTTTCACTACTTGGATAAAACTGATAAAGGGGATTATTTTTCTTATGTTGAAACTGTATACAATAAAAGAAATATTTCTGCAGCTCAGAAAAAAAATTGTTGAAGGGGGTGTATTCTTGCTTGCATTCCCAACAACTCACAAAGGATGCTTTAGCTCGGAAAAAAAGAATACTAAATGGGTTATTTGTTATGCAAAACAAAACTTTATTGCATATGGCATTATATTCAGCAGTATTACCTGAGTTCAACACTTATATTAAATTATTTGAAACAAAAAAAAAAAAAAAAAAACACCAATGCTTCATTTAATACATTCCAGTATTTATAAATTGATGGCAAAATTTTTCTCATTTTTTATGAAGCCAGAAAATATAGAGTGCACATCTTATAATGATTTATTAATGGTTGATGTCACAAATCCAGAATTCCATCTACCTAGCAAAGTAATATTTACTGGTGCAGAAGCTTCCACTCTCCTGAAGAAATTATCAAAAAATCATCCAATAGCAAAAGAATTCCAAATTTCTCTGATGAAAGCTTATACTAATACAGCACAGCATATGAAACAGAAATTACCCCTTAAAAATTCATATCTAATTAGTTTTACAGCATTAGATCCAGAGCTAAGAGGTAAAACCAGTACAATATTAGCTTTTGAAAAATTATCATCTTTTATGTCCCATATTTTTAGTGATAATGAAAAGTCAAAAGTAGAAGCTGAAATAAGGTTATACCAGAGTGATATTGATATCACCAAAGAAATGCTCTACACATCTGATGAAAGTGGAAATCAAGTCAAGTGTACAATTGATAAATATTGGTCTAAAGTTTTTAATTTTAAAAATGATTTCACAAATGATTATAAGTATCCTACATTGGCTAAATTTGGTCAAAGCCTGCCTTAGCTGCTTCCATGGCCCATTAGTGGAAAGTGCATTCAACTTAATGGATACACTTGTCACTGACTATAGAACCTCTCTTAAGATTGATTCCCTAGATGCAGTGCAGTGCAGACTATTAAATATGATTTAATGGCTTCTAAAGAAACCTCATGTGAAAAATATGGCTCAAAAAATCCAATGACTGATCCAATTCACAAAGATCTCTTACTGAATATGAACAGAAGTTGGAAAACATATCAAGAGGACTTAAAAACATGTATTTCAGATGAGTCACCTTTAAAAGTCTCTGAAAAACCTTCTACATTAGCAGAAAAGCAAACTGCTTCTACCTCTGCATGTGCAGTTCTCGAGGAAATTTCTTCAACTGTAAATGAGGAAAATAAAAGTCAACCTTCCTGCAATTATGAAGTTCACCACAAAAGAAAGACAAGCCCACAAACATCAGAAAATAAAAAAAAGCAGAATTAGAATTATATAAAAGGAAGATAAGTTATGAATAAATTGCATTAATTCAATTAAATATACAGCAGTGCAAAAGTGCGACGCTACAATTAAATGCAAATTTAGATTTAGAAAAATTCCCGGTATTGGCTTGTATTCAAAATCCATATATATGGAAAGGGAAACTTACAGGTTTCCTACTCAAATATAGACGGTGCAGCAAAGGTTGTAATCCAAAAGCAGCAGTCGTAGATCTAATTTCAGTCACTCAGTCTTGGAGATTTATTGTTCAGAATGCATATGTAGCAATAATTTAATTTCAGGACTGAACTCATTTATAGTTTGCTCCATCTGCTGCCAACATCTTTACCTTTAAATGATATACTAATGAATATACGATGTCTTTCACGGAAGTTTAATAATACTTCAATTATCGTTACAGGTGACTTTAACGACAAACATCCTCTCTGGGGCCCCTCTTTTGCAAACCTCTGAGGGATTAAAGTATGTAATTTTGTAGTTGCCTGAGGTTTTACGTTGCCAATGACCTTAACAATCCAGCCACATGCATAACCAATCGAGGCGAGTCATATATAGATATCACTGTGATAAAAATCCATGGCGATATACTACGACGTATATATATATATATATATATATTAATGACTGGAAGGTGAAATATTAGTCTAAAGAGGCTCTCACTTCTAGGAACGCACGCGGGACAGTTCCGAAAAACGAGATTTTAGTAGCTCTCCTTTAAGCGGGAGGCTTCCCAGAAATGTTTCGTCTAGCTTGGAGGAACATGTTCCGGCTATGAGCAACATTTTGAATAATAAAAATCTAGAGAGACAAACTATGCCGGAAACATAAGAATACAGGAGTAAGTCCATTTAACATTGAGTAAATAAGTATATCGATAATTTGGCGAGATATCGCCAAGTTGGCAACGGTTTTGGCGACTAATTTTTTCGCCAAATTTGGCGACCATTGAGCGACATTTTGGTCCAGTCCCTGTAACCTGCACAAGTATTTCTGTAGAAAGTTCCAGAACTCTGAAATGTTTGTTTTGACAAAATAAATTTTATCAAGCTGTAATTGGACCTTTGTATATTCAGTCTATTACGAACCCATACACAACAGTATTTGTACTCAAAAGAAGTATGGCGTACTAGAAAGTAGAGCCGTCTGTAAGTAGAAATAGTGACAAAAATTCAAAAATTAAGATAATAAAGTTTTAAAAGCGTTAGGAATGACTGAATTAGAATTAAAGGCGTAAACTAAACAAGCTAAGTCTTTGTTTATGTCAAAAGCTTCAAGAAAATCCAATTCACCAATGGTAGAAGCTTTTTAGATAAGTTTTGCAGACCCTAAGTCAAAATTATTATTGTATTTCCAACTATGATTAGCTATCGATGACTTGTCATTTTCGCCTTTTCGGATGCGAAACTTCAACGCTGTTTTAGTTTGGCCAGCATATTTCAGTTTACGTTAATATTTCTGCAGACAGATAGCGTTACATTCTCATTCGCTTTGTTCCTTTTGGGTGTAAATACAACCGTGACTTTCCCTTCGTTCCAGATTTCTTAGCTGTTGATGAAGAGAAGCCTGAACCTTTTTGCTCTAAAATCTACGCCAAACGCAATGTCGTTACTATGGTAATTTTATGTTTTACTTTCTCGTGTTTCTCTTCTGTTTAAAAATGAAAATGATTTTATTGACAAAACAATTATTAGAGGCACTTTATTTGTCTAACATACATTGAAATGTAATAACAGCGCTTGACAATTTCAGTTACGTAAATTTCCATAAAAGTAATGGAAAGGAAAGCTCATACATTGATTCATAATTTTGCTTTATCTAAAAAGTTTTTATAATTATTTTTACATTATAGTTTAGTGTATTATCATGCTGGCCTTTTTATTCGTAGAAATACAAAAGTTAAAGCTATGGCAATTCCAACCACTAATATGATGCCGATGGCCATGCCCACCATGTTTAAAGCTCGTTTTCTTCTTTTCTGAAGGAAAGTTCGTCTGTAATGAGCTTCCCAGTCTCTAAAATTGATGGGATATGTTCGATAGAGTTCATCCATCTGTAAAAAAAAAATATTGTATTAAATTGTTAACATTCTAATTGATTATAATAATTTTATGGTAGTCATTAATTATTGTAATTATGTTTTTATCTTTGAGCTAAAATATAACTGCATACTAACACACTGTGAAAAAGGAAATTTCTTAATAATTAGTTTTAATAATTATGCGATTATAAATGATTATTATAATTATTCAATTAATTATAATAATTATACTATAACAAATAATCATTACGTTTCTTTTTTTTGGGGGGGGCTAACACTAGGAAGACAGCAAATTTATTTTAGAGAAAAGAGCGAAAAAAATTTTTATATAGAAGATCACGATACTGGCAAATGTCCTACAATCTGGGCAGATCCCGCTCAAACAGGGTGGAAACATTTGTGTGTTGAATCTTTGTTTTCTTAGTACTATTTAAAATAATACTTCTGCTAAAAAATACAATTCTATGATTTTCAATGATGTTATTTTTAAAAGCATGATTTAAAATATGCGCCGTTCATAAAAATTTCATAAATTGTGAATTAAAAATTTGAGATTCTTGGTTACGAATCCTAGAATTGAGTTTTGAGAATATGAGTCAAAGGCGCAAAAGACAGCTGACGACAGAAACATCCGATATTCCCTATTTCGGTAAATTCTCTCTTTCCGGCGAAGAAAGGACTCTTGTATGATCTCTTATTCCACAGCCTTAATAACGCTTAATAACCCTTTTGTGATCTGGTAGAATGTTTGCCACGGTTTCACCAAAGTTCCGTTCAGTGAAGCTCGCTAGCCTCGTGCGGCTGTTATGCAAGTAAAATATATGGGTGAAATATGGTAAATTACTCTATGTCCAAAAGAAATAATTTATTTCAATTCTTTTTACATACAAAGTTATTAGCAAATTTAAAGTGAGCAATATAATTATTCTATGTTATTTTTTGTTAGTTTAAGAAACTTAATAATGTTATTCAGAAGTATTTAAAAAATATTGTATTGTACTGATTCTATCAAAAAATTTTGAAAAGAAAATCTAAAAATTAGATTTGCTTGTGGATGCTTTATGTATTCATGGATGGATGCTTGTTGGTTGTTTTACAGGATGGGTCTGCCGAATTTCTGAGTTATCACTAGCGGCAGATATTTAATTGGGATTGTCTGTGAGCGGACCAGGAAACACATCAGAAACATTTAATATCATACAGAATTTCATGTAAATTAAAAATTGATGAGCAATTTATGGCTGTTAGAAGCTTTGGGAATTCCTAATAAATTTGATGACAGTCATAGTTTATAAAACTATGTTACCTTTAGAAAATTTCAAGAATCCTCAGGATTTGAGAATAACAGATAAATGGCTTGCTTTCCGTGGAGTGCGTGTGCTGGGGAATTACGAGAAATGATTAATTAATTCATGGAATCAAGCTAACCATGGATTAATAATTCTTATTTATTATTATTCTTGTTTAATTTTTATGGTTACTGTGATAGAAACTACTATGACTATATGCACCACTCTAAAACAGTATTTGAGACCCCCCCCCAAAAAAAAAATTTCCAATGTTCACAAAGAATCTGCAGGAAGCTAGTTTTTTTATTGAAACGATACAGCATAAAATAGCACACTTTTTATTCACTTCCGTAATGGAGGATTCAGTGTGTTGCTCTTTGCAGTACATAAGCAGTTCACTTTTTCCACAATGTATTAGTGCTAGAACGTTGTTGTTGAGGGTGGCAATTTTGCCCATGTTTTGTTATGCTGTTTTTCAGCATTGACAAGCTTTCGGGATGACCTCGAAAAATCTTGTTTGTGAGAAATTCCCACGGTGCTATCGGAGAAGGTGAATGAGACAGTCCATCTGTGGAAAAATTGCAACTTACGTATGTCTTGCATAACTCAAAAAACGAGTAGCATTGGAATGTTAAAATTTTGTATACAGAACTGCTATAACATGTAAATGTGCACCTCCTATTTCGGTTGTAATCGGCCGCGCCAAAAGTGTATATATATATATCCACTCTGTTACTCGGCTCAGTGAGCTCAGTTTCTTTATTCTTATATGTTTGTAAGTTTTGTATTTTTTGCTTTAAAAAAGATTGAATTATGTTGTTCTTATATTCCGATTAAAATTGTTATGCCTTTAGTTAACTTGCATGCAATAATTGTAGAATTATCAACAATTTAAAGTTTTTAAGTGTGATAAGCCTAATTTTTGTTTACTATAGCAGCCACATTTGTTTACATTTGAAACTTAGCACTATAGTAGATTTGCTACCAATCTAGAGAAACTAAAGCTTCGCAACAACAAAGTAATGTCTTCTTTTACTACTGCAAATTTAATCATGCTTAATCTATTCTGGAGTTATCATTTTAGTTATTAAGTTATCCCATATATTGACTCAGCATAGCGTTCAAAACAAATTAAGTCAGTTTCCACGCCTTCAGTGTCTTTTTGCCGAGAGAGACCAAAATTAAACTTCCAGTTTTGTGCACTGAAAAATCTGCCTTCTTGTCCGCTGGCCGAATTGCTTTTTTTTTTTTTTTTTTTTTTTTTTTTCCCTCATAGAAACTATAATTTTAATTGTAAATTTTTTTAAATTGTTTTAACTGTATTTGTTATGTTTTTCTATATCTTTCAATTTTTAATATAGATATTTTGAGTTTTTATGTTTTTTTGCCTTGTCACGAAGTGAGAACTGAATTAATTGAATGAGAAATATATATATATATATATATAACGAAATTGAAGGAAACAAGTTTAAATGAAATGCGTGAAAAAAATGTGTATAATTGAATATTCCGTACAAGGAAGTCATATAGTGTATACATCAGCTTTTTTTTTTTTTTACTTTAGAATCATAATCTGAACACAAAAACAATATCTGTAGTTCATTAAGCTACAAATATTTTTCATTTTAAATTAATGCAAATACTATTACGAGATGGCTACGTGCCAATACCGAAGCCTGCCAGTGTTTTCTGGAACACAAATTCTCTGAGATTCTGTGAATAAGACCTCCATTTCAAAAAAATTATATTTATTAGTACTTTTTTCCTTATGCATAAAAATGCTTCTCATTTAACCTTTGGACATCAGAAACCTTTTCCTAAACTGATATTTTATATTTAGTTACGTAGAAATGCTAGCATTTCTCTGTTCAATTTGTGTAAGGTTCTTGAATATGATTTTAATGTCAAATATCTCGATCAGTTTTTGCCGTACAGAAGTTACACTTTTTGTGTTTTATTTTTTGTAAGAACAAAATTTTACTGCATATAAGTATCAGAACCAGAGGAACACATAAAAAGTTAGATTTCACAATTTTTACGATTCATTTCCTCAAATTCAAAAATGCCCAAATAAGAAACTCTTTTGCACCTTTCAAACATTTTTGTAGGTGAAAGTTTGTGAGAAGGGACCATACCCCATATTAGACTCATTTTCAGTTCGGTATCTCAACATGAATTTTGGACACCCCTACATTATTAGCTTTGTAGAAATTGTACGTACATAAAATGATTTTTGAATGGTACGTCTCTTACTCTGTTATAAATGTATACAGTCAAAAGTCTTTAATCCGGACTCATCGGGACTTCGACGATTCCGGATTATCGTTTCTTCCGGATTATAGATCATCAGTTTGTAAGCACAATTGTAAATTATTTATTATTTATTAGACAAATACCTATTGCAACAGCTAATTTCTGGATGTCGTTCTATTATATAATTTTAAAAAAATATACATTGAGATGATGTACACTTGAAATGTTTAATGGTACGATGCAGTAAATACGTTTATGTTATGTACATTTACCAATACGTTACGTGTAGGTTATTAAGATTTATCTTTAAATAAATGTTTGTCTTTTACAACCATTTTACGAGTGATTAATTTAACTACATAAAGGAAGTTAACAAGTTTAAATCTGGTAAGATGGCATGCAGAAATTATAAAATTAAAAATATGAAACCGTGATTTATGAAATAAAGAGCAATTATGATCTAAAGGGTATCAAAATTTACAAAAAGAAAAAGCTTAATATTTATTTGTTTACTTTATTAAACATTTCTTTCAACGCGCGCATGCGTAAAGCATACATTACCGCATAGTCGAAATTAGAAAATTGCAACCAGAAAACTATTTGATTTGTATTCGTGATATTTATAATGACGAGGAATTTGATTTAAATCATATAAAAAACGGAGCACATCGAGATGAAATGTTACATTTAGTAAGGAGCTATAAGCCGAATAAAATAAAAACATCTGCCTTGAAGGTAAGGATAGTGCTGACAGATCAACTTCCAGTTCATTGCGCGCCGCGACGTTCCCCCCTCGCAGAGCAGCGTGAAATTGATAAACAGATTTCGGAATGGTTAGAGAAACAAGGGATATGCCTTTATCCATTTTTTGCAGCAATTCCAGTTTTTGTTTGATGGACATCAAAACATGCTTTCGCTTTGTAGATCCTTTGGCAGCTCCAGAATCGGAAATTCTTTTTGACATAATCGAAAGTTCAAGCTTACTTTTATAAAATTGCTCTAACAGTCTGCAAAAAATAATAAGCCGGATCCAATTCGAAGATTAAGGAACAATGCAATCTGCAACATTAACTGAATTAGATAAATTTTAGCTTAGCTTATACCGTCTGTCGTACATTAAACGCGCATGCGTAAACGTATTATGCGCTTGGGTAAACACATTATGCGTTTACGTATGCGCAGAAAGTTTAAAGCTTTGATGTCCGGATTATAGATCATCCCGGATTATGGACGTCTGGATGAAAGACTTGACTGTATTCATATCGAATTTCATTAAAATCTGTCCATTAATTTTCAGAAAATCGACATAATGTGCAGATTCTTTTAATTTTGCACATAAATGTATCATAATGCATAGCTACACAACTAATGACTTTTTAAATACACTGTTTATTTTTGAAATATTCGGTACTAAATGTTTAAAGGAAAAGTTATGGAAATTAAAGTGCATTAATATAAAACTGAACACGTATTTTTGTGCTTTTAGGGCATTGCTACGAACGGCTGTTTTCAATAACGAGAATCACAAAATGACAGACACCGGATTTCTACACATTGCTTCATCAAGATAGTGCAGATATTGATTGCTTAAATAAGTAGAAGGGATGCCGTGAATCACATGAAATCAGCGTTGTGCCTAACAAAAGAAAATTTGTAGAGACATTAGGATTTACTACACCACGAAGGCACGCTGGGAAAGTGGGAGAAATACCTTATAAATTAAACTGCTGGAAAAACGGATTTCGTGCTATTTGATTAATTAGTGCGTCAATTTCTGTAAGTAGTTATAAGGTCATTTTTAATTTAATTTAGTTATATATATATATTCATTGGCGATTTTGACGAGAAACGTTAGGTTGGGAATCGATACGTCTGTTCCAGTGGTTCCCATTGGGGTCGGTATTGAACCCCCGGGATTCGATGAAATTTTAAAGTGTTCAGTGAGGATCAAATGCTTCGGCAGTTGATCTGTTTGTTGATATAAAACTACAGAGGATGTTTACACATTTTTCGAACGATTTCGATATGGTTCTAAAAAGAAGCAAATGTTTTAGGATAAAAATTTTTGGCAACAGGCTTATTAATTGAAATGCGGAATATCATCTGCTGCTTTTAAATTTATTCTTCTTTCAAACAGTCGCATGTCAACAAGCTATGGAATGAAGGATATGTTTTGGGCTTTCTGAACAGCTGTATCTGTATTCCATAATACGAAAACGTTGAGAAACGCATTGTGTTAAAATGTCTAAGTGGAAGATGCGCAACATTATTAATCGGAATACGAAAACCACCAGTCATTACTTTTACATGGAAAGAAGACTCCAAACGAATACCTGAAAAGGTACGTAGTGTTTCTAATGTTTCTAAAGTTAAATCTCTAGTGATAACAGAATATGTGCCGACCCAGAAATCAATCGAAGAGTCTTTAAATACATCTGCAGCAACAATAAATGAAATAATAAACCAAGATTTACTTTAAAAAACTAGAAAATGTAATGTTAACCAGATTTTGCCGTGGCATGCTACTTAACGTAGTGCAATTTGTAGAACTCTTCATGAAAACTATTTAGCAGAAGATAAATGGAAATACTTTGCAACCTTAGGTGGAGCATAGTTTACTTAAATGATTGTAGCGATAAAAAACTGTTCATTATCGAAAACAAATACGCAAAATTATTAATCGGAATGGGAAAAATCCGTCAGTCATTACTTCTACATGGAAAAAGACTCCAAACGAATATCCGAAAAAGGTACATATTGTTTCTAATGTTTCTGAAGTTAAATCACTGTAATAACAGAAAATCCGCCGACGCAAAAATCAAATGCAGAATCTTTAAATATATCTGCAGCAACAATAAATAAAATAATAAACCAAGATTTACAACTTAAAAAGCTATAAAACTTAATGTTCACTACGTTTTGCCGAGGCGTTAGCTCAACGCAGAACCCTGCATCTTCATGTTTAGCAGGAGATAAATGGAATACATTGTGGCCCACGATGAAACATGGGTTTACCTAAATACGTACAATAAAAAAAATCTATTTATTATCGAAAACGAAGAGAAACAAATGTGAAAAATCTGGTTTCATCGAAGCAAATAGAGTTTCAGTCAGCAGTTGATTATTGTCGCAATATTCTCTTACAACGGGAAATTAGAAACAAGAAGAGTGGGAAAAAATGTTAAATTTAACTCAACGTACTATCGTGATAAAGTTTTTCGTCTGGTATTTATAGAAAAAATTCCGTTTCTTTGTGCCAATGAATATAAAGAGTAAAACTTCATCAAATAACAAAACATTTACAAATCTGGGAATATGCAAATTTTGTCTGTGAAATCGAAAGTTATGTGTTTTAGATAACTAAAAAAAATGATATGCGTTGAATGTTTTGTAACTGTGAATACGATGTTTCAGCAAGATGACTGACCAGTAGTCTGGAGTGCCATAGATTGTTTAGAGGTGGGTCAAACGCAATCCGTTGCTGCGAAAGGAGTTCCTCAAAGTGTCATTTCCAGACTATGGAATCAGTTTTTGAAAACTCGAAATGCCCGCCGAAAATCGGGGCAAGGCCGTACGCCTGAAACAACACAAAATGAGGATAGGTATTTAACACTAAGGGCCAGAAGAAACTGCGATATGAGCTCCACTTTCTTGCAACAGAACCTTTAGAAACTGTTTGAAACCAACTCCACTATGTGGGTTTGTATGCTTGCAGACCAAGGGTTTGTGTTTCGTTGACACAAGATTACCCTACTGCCCTCAAAAGGTGGACACAGGAGTAGCTCAGATGAACGCGAGATGAGTGTAGCAACGTGCTCTTCACGGATGAGTCTCGCTTTAGTGTTCAACCTGACAGCAGATTCTTCTTTGGAGAGAACTTGGTACTATATGGAATATTTGTGTATGAAAATAACCGATTTGGCGGAGGGGGAGTGATGGTCTGGGCCGGTATTTCTATCAATGCCACACCAACCTGCACATTATCAGAAATGGAGCAGTAATGGCTCAGCGATATAGGGATGAGATCCCCAGACCTATTGTGGTCCTTTACGCTGCAGCAATGGAGGATGATTTCATTCTCAGGGCCGATAATGTCAGGCCACATCGTGCTCAGCTAGTGAACAATTTCCTTTTCGACGAAGGAACCCTTTGAATGGATTGGCCAGCATGTTCTCCAGATAAGAACCTAATAGAACATGTTTGGGACATTCTAGGCAGAAGGACTGCTAGTCCCTTTTAAGCCCCAGAAATAGTCCAGCAGTTTGAAAGCTCTCTTTTACAGAAGTGGAAGAGAATACCCCCAGTACCTCATTGATTCTATGCCTCGTAGGTGTGCGACATTGTTTTCAGTCAGTAAAACCATACTCCTTATTGAAACTCATTCGTATCCAAGATATATTTTTGTTTATTTGTAAAATATGCACAAATTGGGCATTTTTTGCTCACCGACAAATATCGTCAATAAGATTTAATTATTCCTTGTTCTTTGCTCTTTTTCTTTTCTCATATCTTATAATACCTATACATCACATCAGTCACCAAAACATTTCCTCATCCGCAGTTTATATCCAAAATCATGATATCATTTATTTTGTTTTGTTTGTTATTCAAGTGTATATAAAATAAATATAATAGAAAAATATAAAAAACTTTTTAATATATTTTAAAAATCAATAATGTTTTGAAATATGCTGCATTTTCTGCGGAAAAGTGCGTTATAAAAAATGAATGCTCAGAAGAAAACACAACAAAAAATTACGAAGAACGGAAAGAAATAATATTGCTATATACAAGCCGCTTGTAAAATTTAAAAGATTATAATTTTAGCTTCCAATACATTGAAAATTTGAATGATTCAGCATGGCTCATAGAATCGTGAGCCTCTGATATATTTGGTCTTGGTATTATCATGCATAAGAGTTGATCGCATTGAAGGAGTATATTGAAACACTCTTATTCAAAACACATGCATGCGCTAAGTTTGTAATTTAAAATTGATCCGAGAGAAATATCTCAAAAAAGTTTTTACCGAGCAACATTATTGACTTTTTTTACCTAGTAGAGGCAGGATTCAGTGGAGTCAATAATTGACTACAGAAAACAAGAAACACTATTTGAACGAGGTTATTTAAGAATTAAGTTATATCGAATATTAAAAAAATTGCATCAATACATCAAACGTAGCCATCAGATTCATTAAAATCGACCTTTTGTGCAGTTAGAATCGGTAATTTTGTTTTTGAAAAATTATCTATATTTGTTGAAAATAATAGTAATATAAAAATAATAAAACATAAATCTGATAAAACATTTTTTTTCTCAAAACATTTGATTAGATTCTTAGGTTAATTGATATCTTTAAGCTATTTATAATCAGTTACATGTATTATAATTAGGTTGTGTGCTGTATATTATAGAGAAAAATATAAGAGGGTCGATGAAAGAAAAAGTTTGAGAATCCCTGGCCTATTTCAATGATGCATCTGGTGTCACTTATCATTTTCCTTCTCTTTCCTCCATAGATGACATGTACACTTTTCAGTCTTTTGGCGTTGTTTTCCCCGTGTGCACAGCGATCTCTTTCGCAAAAAGTATCAGAAAACTGCTCAAACTGGGCATTGTGTACTGACCAATATTACTCAAGAACAGTTGAAAATTTAACGTAATGAAAATAAAAGAGAGAAAACTTCATAGTTCCATTAGAATTCATAAAAAAATTAGAGTTCATACAAAATAAATGCACTCAGTGCAAAAAGAAATACTGATCAGAAAAATAGCTATTGGATTTCAAAAGCTGTATACTCAAACACACTTGTACTATGCGCATACTTAGGTTGTCATGTAAATACTTCTTGGCGATATCGTAGGTAACCACATAAGCATTTTACACATTTACACTAAACTTATTTTTTCAATTTTTTTTAATATTTAGCTGTTCAAAATGAACGGATCATACCTTTATTGGCTCCTTCAGTCCTCTGGGTATTAGTGGAGGCGCTTTTTTAGATTTTAAACCATTATCTTTAGCTCCTTGGTTTGTTAGAGCATGGCCATTCAAGTGCGGAAGATTCATCACAAAAGCTGCATTAATAGTGTCTCCATTGGCTAGCTTATTTCCGTCCTTTAACACTCTCATGGGAGCTGAATGAATGTGCCTATGCTGAGATACATCCGTGTCCGAAGCGAACTTGACTCTTCTATGCGAAAGGCAGTAACAAGTGCAAGGATGGTTGGGAAAATTGGACGGATTGGAAGTATCCTTATCGAGGACGGACGCTAAACAGTGTTCGCATTTACATTTCTTCGGTTCTCTTAAAGATCGTCTTTCTGACAAAGACTGTTTTAGACGATTTGAAATGTGAGAGCTGTCCGTCTCTCTGGAACTTCCATCGGGAGAATAGCGAGGACCAGATGAATTGCGTAAATTCTCTTTGGATGAAGTAGAAACACCTTTGTCCTCTGAACTTCTATTGTGTGGCTTAGAATTATTATCAAGAAAGTTCTTAGGAGTGGAGTAAGGTGCCCAAGAATGTCTAGCCCTTGCGAGATCATGGTGGTAATAAAGTGGGTAGAAAACGTCATCATCGGACGACGGTTGATACAAAGGATTGTGGTGGTGGTGATGCATACATGGACAACACATACCAGAAATCTGGGGAAGATACACATTGTCGTAACTCCAGTGACCTGGTAGCAACTGATGAAATGCCAATGGCCGGTGAGCATTTTCACATAACTTGCATTTATGCGAGGAATGAGTCTGTTGAGAACCTGAAGATTCTCTAGGACTTTCTCTTTCTCGTTTCGACTCTTTTTCAGTCGATTGGTACTTACTGCTGCGAAGTTGATATTTCCTTGATTTTGTAAAACTGATAGAACTGGAACCACTAGATTCGTCCTGGCGCGTCACTCCATTTGAATCTTTCCTCGAAGGCGATTTTTTGGACGAATTCGGCGTTTTAGGCGATGTCGTACTTGAAGTGCTCTTGCGATCCACAGACTTAGCTTGGCTGTGGTGATCGCTGAGAGCACTATCAGTGCGTGTCACTGCTTCTTCGCTGTTGCTAGGAGACACTTGCTCTCGCTTTGGCACTTTATTGTTGAGAGCTCTTGTCAGAGACTTCATAAGATCCATTTTTGTCTTTTCGATCTCATTGTCGGCTACGGCACTTGAGGGTTTTGGGTCTAGCGAATCTAGAAATGTCTCTGATGAACGTTCATTACCCCTTTCTAAAAGCCTTTGCAGTTTTTCTTTGATTAACGAGTTGGGCCTCTTGGCATCTGTCGACCCTGACTTTTGCCTGTCTTCCCGAAGGCTAGTGTCTGTAAGACTGGACATGGTGAGGCTATCGAAAGGCTCCTGCGATGAATCACTACTTCCGCCGTAATGGCTGCTATACGAATTGGCACTGAATATATGACTGCTATTTGAGGAAGCGGAAGACGACAAGACGATTACGTCTTCTGGGTAGGATACTCTGTGAACATCGGCTGACACAACCACAGCTTCAGGATGAGAGTACTCGTCTGAGTCTGAGCTCATGTGTCGAGCTTCCAGTGAGCCCACATCGTCGGTGAGGCTGTCCGCTGTGGTCAAGCTTTTAAACTGACCGCTGGAAGAATAGCCAGTGTCGTCAGAAGCTCGTGTCTCGTTCTCTCTCCTTTCCTCACTGAGAGATCTCTTCAGACGGAGGGTAGGCGTCTCATTCTTCGTCTCGTTCTCGTCGTCCTCGAAAATAGGATTGACTCTGTTGACGGAGTAAACTTCCGGAAAAGGGGATTTGGTGAGGTGACTGCAGTATAAAGGATCATCAGTGAGCACGAAATTTAGAGGCTCTCTGTGTGTCTGCCAATGGCTGAGCAGCAATTTCAGCATCTTGAAAGGCTTGCTCGAGCCTGAAAGGAAAAACATTTTGTCTGTCAATATGCCTTGAACTTAAAATGTTTAGAGATATGAATAAAACATACGGTAAAAATGCAACGAATTGGCAAAAGTAGTAAAAATACAAGAAGGCTCAGGAAATGCCATATAAATGGTTAGATTTATAGCCGTTCGGGGCTGTCCCCGAACTTGTCACCTCTCTTGATATGCTAAAAATAACTGCAAAATATCGAAATGACACATAAGGAAATGAATTTAAACTATGTGCGCTTTTGAAGAAAACTTTTAAATCTAACGTTTTAAAATTATATTATTTTACTAGTTTTTTGTTGCGAAACCATCGAGGATATTATAGAGGTCTACTTGATTGCTCCAGCTGCTGCCATGTAGACAGTAAAGAAGGATTTTTTAAATGCAAATTTAACATTTCTAGTTTTTAAATACTACTTATACAAAATAAACATGTGTAGTTTCAAAATATTTTCTAAATGATTTTTAATTAAAAAACTCTTCTCTAGAAGCAGCAGTGCTTACAGCAGCTGTAAGGAAAGTTCTCAAGAGTATTACAAGATTTGGAACTTTGTTCCGGAGATCGCATTTTAGAATAAACTACAAAAAATCAAAAGGAGCGCCCTTCCGCGTTTTCCTTACCAATACCGGAAATGGAACTCTTGAAAAACTTCTCTCTTGACAAGAAATTCTTCGTTATTAATGTTACAGTGATCAAAATTTAGTTTATATTCGTAATTTGCATTTAAAAATTTCGATGGAATAAAAAAAAATTAACAAAGGTTTATAGGTCTTGAAATTTAGTGGTGATTTCTTCGAATGCTTTACCTCGAGTAAAAACAGTTCTCTCTTGATTTTATTCGGTATGCAGTTCAAAATCTCATTATTTTTTACGTGCCTCGACGATCTTACATAATTAAACCTATGGGGTATTCTCTCCCTCCTTCCAGCATGCCTTCGTGGTGTAACGGTAACTCACTCGGCGCGTATTCGAGACGTCCAAGTTAGAGTCCAGACCAGGACATTGCTCATTTTTATTTACCATTTTATTTCATAACCTCCTATAAGTGAAACTTTGCATTTGTCACAGCCTTTTGGCACGTCTGCCGAAATTGCAATAAATCGCAAAAATAGTTTAAATGGACTACCTCTGTAGGCTTTCTTCCGAATAACTTACCTTTCAGAATATCCTATAAAATGAAATCCCATGGGCCATCTGGGCTATGCCGAGACCACTGTCTTTCGCCTCCATAACGTTCAGAATACCGATGTGACATTATATCTCATCAGTAGCTAGAAGGTGGGAAGAGGCGATCCCCCTGGGCGGCATTTTTCATATGAAACGTTATTTCATAGAGGTTAGTGATGTGGACCGTCGAGAAGGTGAAGAATACCGAGATTTTGTATTGCCGTATGGAAATAAATTGAGAAGAAAATACTTTTCGCCGCAAATGAAGTATTCAAAGAAATCATCACGAGATTTAACTTTTTATATCTTTTTTTATTCCGCCGAAATTTTTGATTATTACTGATCATCAATAAGGAAGAATTTCTGGTCAAAGAAAGACGTATTTCAGAGTTGCATTTCCGTTATTGTTAGGGAAAAAAAACAGTAATGTGGAAGGGCGAATATTTTGAGTTTTTGCAATTTGTTCTATCCAAACATTGTAACAATTAACTGCAAACGTTTTTCACAATTGCTGAAAATGTTGCTAGTTGTTACAATGATGTTCTAAAAAATCATTTAAGAAGAATTTTAACGTTTATTTTGCATTTAAGAAATCTTTCTATACTATCTGAATAACAGCAGTTGTAGAAATCAAGCAGACCTCTAAACTCTGTCATCGACGTTTTCGCGAATAAATAATAATAATATAATTTTTATTATTATATACATTACATTAATTTTTTTATTATATTCATTATTACTATAAATATTTTATTAATGTATTTATTGTATTAAAATTTTTATTAGATTTAGTCTTATTTTTTTACTTTATTATTTCATTTGTTAAAAATTTTGAATTCATTAATTGATTTTAAATTAATAAATTGCTTTGTCTACCTTTGTCTACATTATTTAAAAAACATAAAACCAAGACAAAAACTATTATTTTCGAAGTTAAACAGCAGCAAGACAAAAATTATGAGTTTCATCTATTTAATTGTTTGTTTTCTTTAATTTGTGCATTTATTGTGTATAAAATAGTATATATACATATTCAGAACTTACTTACATACCATTAGATATTAAAAACTTGTAAATGAAACTGCCACATTCGCTTTACGATAGGTTAGAAATTCAAAATTACATTTTTTATCACTCCTGACCTTGGGAACATTTTGAGGAAGGGTGAAATTATATTCATTATCCGTTAAAATAAAATACTCCAAAATATTCTTGCAAATTTATTTTATTTCGTCTTAATTTCAAATTTCTACGAAAACAGAACAAATTAATAGTTAAACTGGATTCTGAATCTAGAAATCGGCTTATCCGCGTGAAAACCGACATGGTGGCAACAATGGAACTAATGAGTTCCGGTTGCTGACCAAAATCTGTGAATGGTTTGTCTGCAAATAGTTAATTTTGTACGAAAATGTGCACGAAAATGTCTTTTCTGTCACCATTAAAATCTTCGTTTCTTCAATAAACATCACAACTTTCACATTCTGTTCGATAGCTAACTGGTCGTTATCAGCCATTTTGCAAATGCGGTTTTGCGGAAAATTAGAAACCGAAATTGAAATCGAAATCGAAATTGAAATCTACCGGATTTTCTATGAACTAAAGCTCCTAAAAACTCGCTTTTAACATTAACTATAAAATATTAAACGTAATTGAATGGCATGGCATTTCGTGTGCCATCATTTATAATTTAGGAACGGATGCACATGCTATATACTTATAATTCAAATAATTCAACACTTATTCATCTTAACACACTTCTAAAGCGATTTTCAAGGAACAGTGTCTGTAGAAAACATTGCGTACTTTTTTATTTAAAAAATCAAAGATTTAGGTTAGAATGTTAGCAAATTTTTGTATACAGAATGAAAAAAAAAGTCCATCAACAATTGATTTTCTTATCATATCAGATAAAGGTACAGTTTGAAATGCAGAGGATGTCTACACATTTTTAGAATAATTTCGATAAATAATTTTAAAAACGAAAATGTTTTGGAATAAAAATTCTTGGCAACAATTTATTATTTGAAATTACAAACATCATCTGTTACTTTTGAATTTATTCTTCTTTCAAAATATCGGATGTATACAAGCTGTGAAGTGAAGGATATGCCTTTGCGTCTTACGAAGAGAAATACTCCTATTTCATAATTCAAGAACGCTGTGAAATGAATCACAGTAAAATTTCTAGGTTAAATAAGTAAGATTATTAGCCAAATAAGGAAAAACCGCCAATCATAACTTCCACATGGAAAGAAGACTCTAAATGAATACTCGAAAATGGTACGCACTGTTTCTAATAATTATAAAGCTAAATCGTAAGTAACAAGAGAAAATCCGAACCAAAAGTTATTTAAAAAGTCTTTAAATACATCTGTAGCAATACTAAATGAAATAATGAACTAAAGTTTGCGATTTAAAACGTTAAAAACATCATGTTCATAAATTTTTGACGAAACATGTGGCTCAACGCAGAAGAATTTGTAGAACCATGTATGATAGGAGATAAATGGAAATACATTGTGAGTCTTCAGGAAGCATGGGTTTATCTGAACAGCTGCAACAGAACTGTTTGCTTATTATAGAAAACAAAGAGAAAAAATGTACAAATGTGGTTCCGTCCATTCAAAGAACGTTTCAGTAACAGATTTATGATTGTCGCAAAAGTCTTTTATAATGGGAAATTAAAAATAAGAACAGTGGGAAAAAACTAACTGATTATACTATGAAGAGAAAATTTTACGTCCTATGTGTGCAGAAGAATATCCATTTCTTTATCTGAATGACTTTTAAAAAGTAAAACCTCATGAAGACGAAGCAAAAAGTTATACTTTGAAAAGTACAACTGTATTCCAGGACAAAATAAAGAGTGATCGGGTTGTTGCATATATACATTTCTAAGGTATTTCTGAGAAGTTCCCTGACGTTTCACTTATACACTATTGTGACTTTGGTCTTTGGAAAAGAACTCTTTCTAAGCGCAAACCAACCACGATGGATGGACTCTGGAAAGTAGTGGAAGAAGAATGAAAATTCATAGCCATGGACATTTTACGTAACGCCCTTCTCTCACAACAATACCGATGGAGACTATAATCCAGAACAAAGGCTATCAGATCGAATATTTAAAAAAACACATTTCACATTTTAAACATTAATTAAAGGCCCTGAAATCACTCTAAATTTATGTAAACACCCTATTCAAATATGATTACAATAGTGGAGGTCTAAGCTACATAAAATGCATATAAGAAATATTAGAAAATTTAAATTGCTTTACCCTGTATGAAGAAAATGATCAGATGATCGTAATGTATTTTCATGTAAAATAAAAAAATTGCAACAAGAAACATTATTTACCTAAACATTTCAACACAAATTTGGAGTATCCAAATTATTATGTGAGTTACTGATTTACACATTAAAAAAATATTACAAGGAATATTTTGATTATATTTATTTTACAATAAGCAAGCTTAAAACAGAGAAAAAATAATACATTAGAGAAAAATTGTAGTGTATGTTTCGATATTTAGTACATGATCTATGCAAATAAAATTCAAAATATAAGTGTCCCAAAACAAATGTATGCCGTTGTAATAGTTTAGTGTTATTTATTAGATCAGATTTCGCTTAAATTTTAATAGGCGTTTGTAATATTTAATAGCTAATGACGTATTTTAATGTATTTGCAACAAATACGTATATATTCACAGATGAAGTTATCTTCAACATCGATGAGATACAATTGAAAGAATTCAGCAAAATCACTTAGAAAGTTGCACTATTACTTTCCTTTTCATTCTTAATTCTTTT